GTGCGTGCTTCAGCGCGAACATGTACGCAAGCGCGTTTTTTGATTTCAACCAATCAGCGCCGACGCAAATGACGTCATACACGACAACAGCTAAACTAAGCCAGCCGAGACGACACTCGAAGTCGGACGGACACAATTTTCTGCCAATCTGTGTTTTTCCCTTTTTGGCCAAATATATTTTTTACGACAACTGTCTTGTTGACGGCGTCTTTTATTCGTTCCACTGGGGTTTAGCAGGTGTGTTTATAAAGAGACGAAAATTGTTTGGGGACTATCCCCCACGTTCTAGTTGAGATGGTATAACCCAAGAGGCAAAATGACGCTTGCTACTGTTGTTGCGAGTTGCCATTCGTTCTACTAAACCATTAGTCAAACGCCATCATGCCTTCTGTTGTTATTACACAAACAAAAATCTCTTTACTGTTACTAGTGTTAGTGCCTCAATATGGCTACGCTCGTGAAAGCAATACAACGAACTCAAACGCGTCTTCGTTCAATGTTGTCAACTAATATCCGGATTATGCAAATTTTCCTCAATTCTCCGGAGAAATTTTCATAAAAATTTGAAAAACCCGGAGGACTTTCATCTCTGAATAGCATAAAAATGCTAGACCAAGTCTGAAGACATCTACATGGACCCAAGAGTGTACCTGAAGATTTTGAAAAGGAAGTGGACAGAACCAAGATTTAAGTGCTAGAAATGACATGGCAAAGGAAAAACATTCAAGGGGGCCAGGGAAGAAGAATCAGCTTCTGCTGGGTATAACTCAGTCCAGATTTAAAGGATGACATCAGGTTCAGTGAGGTCTACGGAGGAAGGCAACATTTTTCTCATTTGGTTATTCGGGTGACCTCAAATTTATTGAGGTCAGCAGGATTGCTGGATTATTTCAAGTATTATTCTGAACTGTTACTTGGAATATTACCCTTACATGTCAACCATCATTTATTATTATCTTTTTAATATTACCCTTAGATGCTGTATATTATTCTTACACATTACTTTTGAACATGACTTGTTATTTCTGACGTTAATATTGAGTGATTACTCTTAAATTTTATTCTCAGAAGTATTCTACTCAAGTAATAAATCAAGATTAGCCCTTTCATATTTGGCTACCATAACGGTTTTATATACAGTGGTAGATAAGTTCTTTACTTCTTCCTACTCCCTTGAACATAATAACTGTGTTGAATGATGACTAATTTCTCTTTCCTCTTTTATTTACCTTATTTTCTGTCAAATTATTACTGTATATGTTTTATGTTCAATAAACAAAAAACAAACAAACAAACAGTGTAATATATACTGTATACACACACACACACACACACACACACACACACACATGGTCCTATCGGTTCCGATCCTGGAGGCAGCAAAAACGAAAGATATTTTGGAACATTGCAGAAAAAAAATAGTCGTCAGAGTTTGTGTGACTTCTTTTGCTGGTCTGGATCTGTTTGTAGATTTGTGTGGGAGCTGCTAATCAAGCCCGAGAGCTTTTTTTTTTTTTTTACATTATCGAACCGAGTGCGGTAATTATAAATTAATATTAACGTAGACCTAAATGACTAAGGTAAAATACAGACACCAAACCAATCGACCCCTGAGTTTAGGTGTCAAACTCAAGGCCTGGGTGCAGCTCCGGCCTGCCACATCATTTTATGTAGCCTGCGAAAGCTTCCATGACCCTTGCTAAAATCGGGACCAAAATCTCAAATTGTCACGTCATAAATAACGTTGAGATTTTGCAATATATTTGATCTTTTTACACTCAATAATTGAACAAATAGTAGACCTGAGTGATTTCTCAACTAGTAATCCATCAATTTGTTTGCATGTAATAATATGAGGAGATGATTAAAGATTTACTGGCTGTCATAATGCCCCTCTGAGGCAAGACTTAACTCCCAAGTGGCCTACGAGAAAAATGAGTTTGACATCCCTGCCCTAGAGGATAAGTGGTACAGAGAATGGATAGGTAGATTAAATCAGAAGGCCACTTAGTCGGTTGTGCCCTACTCAAAACTGCTTCAAATGTAATTACACACCATAATCACACCTCCATTTTGTGTCACAGAACAATCAGTAAATAAAACATGAACTTACATTTTTTAATGTCAAAGACAACAACAAAAAAAAAAAACGATACATACACGATATGTAATCATATTACAAATGGTAGGGCAGAATACTGTCTTAAGTTTTACACACAAGAACATCTGCAAAGGGACCCAGAAGGTTATTGTTGAATATACACCTGACCCATACCAGGTAGGTAATAAAAGGCTTAATGTTTTCTGAAAACGTGAAGTTTTGCTGTTGGATGATATAAGGCATATAAGTGTTTTCTCCTTGCTCTTGAATCCAAACCTCATAATTCACCTCTTTCACTTTAAGGTATTTCAAATTCCACGGTATCTTCCACGAGATTATAAGTTGTGCTTTGTCAGTAGCCTGTACCGAGGTTTGACACTGGGGTTCCCTGACCTTGCCTGGATGAATCTTATTGGCGGGTTTGGACTTGTTAAAACTGAGCCTAGTCTTCATGCCCTCCCTGACAACGTCAAGAAGTGAAGGGATATCGATCAGAGTATCTTGGTAGATTCGGAAGAGCCACTCTGGGTTGCGACAACACAAGTGCCTTGAGACTTCTTGGCTTGACAATATCCGCTCCTGCTCTTGCTTCTCTAAATGAGTTATACCGCCTTGCTCCCAAGGTCTGTCTGGATGGGTAACAGTGTTTTCCTCTTTAGTGTTCCGCCATGAAAAATAATGGAGATCCATGCCTGGAAGTGTAGCAAGTGTTTTGTATGGAGCATACTGCTCTGGATTAATAGCAAAGGGGAATAGTTCGACCACAATAGCTCCTCTGGGGAGAAAAAGTGAGGTGATAAGCTGGGCTCCATGCATGCTCACTAGTATTGAAGCACCACTGATAACCTGTACAATGCTGGGAAAAGATTGTTCCTCCAAAGAAACTTTCAAGACTTTCATCTTGAACTCCTGAGCGAGTGCGATGATTAACTCTGCTTCATTCAACATTAGCCTTGTTGTTGAGCGACTGAACACAACTATGTATTCGTCCTTCTCGCTCTCATCTCCAGCATTACGAGAAGTCTTCTCCACCTCTGCGAATCTTGTGACGTTCATTTTCACCATAAAAGCTTTCGAAAACTGTCGAATCTCATTTCCTGAGACCAAAATGTTAGCCTTGGGCCCTTGTGGCTGAACAAACCCATATTGGTACCAAGTTGTCATCTTAGACACACCAACATAAGATTTAGTAAAACAAATTAGCTTTCCAAAGTCTTTGAGCTGCTCCTTGAGAAGTGGCTGCTTGCTGCTTAAAAGTCGATAAAGATCAAAGTGTGGCCCTTCACCCCAACCCTCCATGAACAGCAAACGTGCGCTCTCTTCCAGGTCTGAATAAAATTTCATCGTATAGAAGGCTGGCAGCAGATCATCATGGAATACGTGCATTATGTTGTCAGGATTAAACCTGTTAAAAATGAACGTTACATCGGGTACGAACACCGGCTTGGACAAGAACTTCAAAGCAGCAGTTGGAAGTTCTAAAAAGTTGAAATACTGGGTATTGTGATCTTCTACTGAAGACATGTCAAGCAAAGCAGGTTGAAATCGTCTGGAACCCAAATTTGGCAACATAACAGAGGCATTTGAATGAAAGAATACAAACTCATCTCCCTCCGTACAGTAGCATAGGTAGTCAAAGCGGCAGATACGATCAGTGTGCATTTTGCTGCTGCACACCATGCGGGTGCCATCCTCATGAAGTGCCTGGAGGGCTCGATGATAGTCTATTTGGGTCTGTGTAAATTCTTGGGACCTCTGCGTCATGTGCAATTCTTCCTCAAGCACGGTAGCGTGTTCTCTTAACTTGGAGTACTCCCAAAGTAAAGCAGCGACCACAGAGACAAGGAGTCCATTAAAAAGTAAACCCCAACTCATTCTGCTGACGACCAGTGAAGTGTGCATCGTTGCCTGTGGTTGAAGATCTTCAGTCGCACCACGACACAAAAACACCTGCTGACAGAAAGAGACGAGACTTGCAAGGGATGGGGAAGATGGGGGGGTAGAAACAGGGGCAGGATATGAGATGAGAGAGGGAACGTGTTTAAAATTGTAGAAATTGTAACACATGGGTTAAGCATGTAGGAATAAAATCCAAACGTGCATAGGAAAGTGTTACAGGACTTCACATAATTCGGGTTGTTTAAAAAAATGCAATGTGATTTCTCAAAGAATAACACTATTCCTCACGTATTTATCCAACTGGCAATGTGACAAGTGTAGAAGAATTCGCTGCGTACTGTGATTTCCTACTTCCTTTATTGCGTTCTCATTACACCCACCTGTGAGGGATTTTTCAGCCAATGTGTTTTACATCATATTAGGAACTGTTATCTCAAAGGTTTACGTTGCTGGCGCCAGCAGAAAGGAGTACAACAGAGGAGGGGCTACTAGTTGTCTGCCTCCTTACACATACCAACTTTTATGACCACGCTGGATCACACTGGATTTTGTCTTTTTTTTGTAACTGTTTAACATGGGTTGTGACAGTCTGTCTCTCATTTACATATTGCCTCCCTATATTCTCATGTCTCGAACGTTTTAAGCGCGCTCTGCGTCGAGATCTAAAAAGTACAGAGGCCCGAATCGATATGGACAAGTTGTGATGTTGGAATAAAGAAAACAGATGATGGAATACTGAGAAGAAAAGACGAAGTGTTGGGTCTTGATTCCATTTTTAGTGAAATAAAAGAACCTGTGTACAAAGGATCGACAAACAGAAATCCCTTTGCACAAGTCACCGCCACCTTGGTGGGGCATTCTAAAGATGATGGAATGAGCAATTCAAAGGGCTCTGATATCCTTCATAACCAATAAAACCATGAATGATCCATCGATTACTAAAGTTCATGACCTACTCTAGTCCCTACTCTGCTCTTTTCATTCAGAGTGCTCAATTTACGTACGCTATTCGAGTTTTTTTAGGTCAAGAGACGCACTTTGAAACATCACCTGGTGACAGTTTATTTTATTGATATTTATAGCTTAAATATTGATATTTAATATCTTGATCATCTTTATGGGCGGCATGGCGCCTGACCGGTGAGCACCTTGGGTTCTGAAAACGTGACCTCTATAAAAGGCCAAAAAAAAGTGTCCAAACATGAAAGAAAACTCAAAACGGAAGACTTACGGTTTGTTTACCATAAGGCTCCATTAGACTCTTTTTCTTTTTGGGTCGAGCTTGGGCTCTAACAAATGCCTTGAACATTTTCCAAGATCTTGTTGAAACATTCAACTGAGGCTGGTCCATTAAAACTTTCTCGGGGGTGCCACTGAGCAGTTTTGTGAAAACCGCAAAATAAACGAAAAAGATTGGTTATTTTGTCATGTGTGATGTGTGCCTAAAAGTTTCATATGTTTGTGCGAATATTTAGATCACGTATCAAACTCAAGGCCCGGGGGCCAAATCTGGCCCGCCAAGGAAATACAAAATGCACTTTTCAAATGACAATTCAAATTATTAAGGCACACAAAAAAAAAAAAACCTTTCTGAACCTCTGTGAAAAAGTAACTGCCCCCTTATGATATCACAAACTAACTGTGACTAACGACAGTTTTGGGAAAGCTGAATTCAATTTGACAGGCAGACCCCAAATTGACACTCACCTGCCTGCCTAAAGTTTTCTAGAATCGCTACAAATTGTCCAAATCCACTCAAAACATCTCATCACGGAAACTAATCAGAATATTTATACACACAAGTGTATGCGGCAATTGCAAAGAAAAGGCAAAGCCGACTGCTCGTATGGTTCGCAGCATGGAATTGTGGAATATATGACTATTTTTAGCACTTAACTGGATGGTGATGCACAGTCAAGAAAGAATCTGAGTGGCCACATGAAACTTGTGGCCACGCAGATGTTTGCAATTAAGCATATTGCATGGGCCATTACCGCAATTGATAATTGTTCAATGAATTGTGCAGCCCTATTGTCAATTGCGTTTTGCCATCCACTGTCTGTCTCTCCATGGTGACCGTCATTGTTGAGAGAACCACTGACACAGGGACATTTTAATCTTGTAATTGTTCTCCTTTTACAAATTATGACATTCTGAACAGGGTTTTATCGATATTTGTGTTACATTTAGGGTTTTATTAGTATAGGAATGTTCCGATAAGACAAAGAGATTTGTATTGTTAAACTTGGCTTTGTGGATTTCACATACGATATTTTAAATGTAATATTTGAAATAGATATTGTTTTCTTCTAGACCGGGGGAGGAAACTCCGCTCTGAGAGAGCTGCGGTCCGACTTGATTGAGACGTTTCCCTCTTCCAACACACCTAATTCAAATAGACAGTGACTTTCATGTACATATGGCATTCCTAGCCAGTGTTAGCTAGGTGGTGCTGTTTCATGCAACCCACTGCTTGGAATTGCACCCTCACTCAGCTTTTCAGTAGGCAATACTAGTATGAGTATGCAAGGCTAATTTCATGTACATACAGCTTTCCTAGCCAGAGTTAGCGAGACACAGTGCTGGTAGAACAGCTCGTATCGTACGTTACATTTCAATACATATAACATTCCCAGTCAGAACGCTCTTGTTTTCGACGTACTTTAATAACCCACCTACATGTTCTTGCCATCAATAACACGCTTTCATTCCAATTAACATAGGAGAAGCCTGAAGTATTCCGTTACAACCTCTGTCACGTTTTCATGACTTCTTAAATGCGTACTTATTAGACGTGCTTTAATTCTCACAAACGTTAAACAGGAAATCCTTTTTGTCTTGATTCTGCGTTGATATTTATTGAAACTACTTTGCGAAGCGAATGACGAATGCACGCTCCCCGCCGGGTGACTGCGGTCAAGCCAGCCTCCACTCGCAAAATTGAAGTCAAGTGAGCCGCCACTGCGATTGTCAGTGCTCTGCATTACGGTAATCTGCCGCCAGCGAGCGGCGTTAGCCACCTTCAAAATAAAAGCGCTTCGACGAATGCATAAACGTCATTTGTTTGCGTGAAAAGAAATTAATAAAAATAGAAAATAAGTAAATTCTTGGCTGTCGGGTAATGATTCACAGAGGAAGAACAAGAACTCTCAGAACAGCACCAATAAGCATTCTCAAGTGGAGATGGAAAATAAAGGCAATGGTAATTCTACATCAATTTCACTTAATATTAAAAAAAAAAAAATCAATCTGGGTGATTGCGCAACCACACCAGGTTGTCGACACACTAGGGCACGCCAGGTATACAACCATAGTACTGGCGTTCAGATCAAATGTTCCATTACCAATTAAAATGCCTCTCAAATATGACATTTTGAGCTCCTCTCCTTATTTCAAAAGATTCTTAAAAATGAATTTCAGTTATCCCTCAATCAAACCAGGCGTGTGGGACACGAGAGCACTCCAGGTATCCAACCAGACCACCCTCATTCCGATCTGATGTCGGCCTCTGAAAAGTGACAAGATGGCCTGCGTTCTGACATGACCTGCATTCGAACATGTTGATCTTTTCGCCCATTTTTACAACATCCTAAAAGAAGGAATACAGCACCCCGGCTCTCCACCCAGACCACCCTCGTCCGGATCCGATGTTGCATTTTCAAATAAAAGGCCTCTGAAAACTGGCATGTTGACCTGATTTCTGACAAGTTGGCCTGGAGGTCTGGGGTTAACTACAGCCCTCCGGCTATCCAACCCGACCACTCTCGTTCGAATCCGATGTTGCATTTGGGAATAAAAGGCCTCCGAAAAGGGAAAATATGACCTTATTCCCGATAAGTTGATCTGAATGCCTAACATGTTGACATTTTCAACCGTTTTGAAAAAAATTCCTAAAAAAATTGAACCTTCGTTATCCCGTGAGGGCTGTATGTCAGGCGATACCTACAGCACTCCCGCTATCCAACCCGACTACCTTTGTTCGAATCCGATGTTGCATTTTGGAATAAAAGGCCTCTGAAATTGGAAAATATGACCTTATTCCCGACAAGTTGATCTGAACACCAAACATGGTGAAATTTTCGACCATTTTGAAAAAATTCCTAAAAATTGAATCTTCGTTATTCCGTAAGGGCTGTAGGTCAGAGGATAACTAGAGCACCCCGGCTATCCAACCCGATCACTCTCGTTCAAATCTGATGTTGCATTTTGGAATAAAAGGCCTCTGAAATGGAAAATATGACCTTATTCCCGACAAGTTGGCCTGAACGCAAACATGTTGACATTTTAAACCGTTTTGAAAAAATTCCTAAAAATTGAACCTTCAGAGACCTTTTATTCCAAAATGCAACATCTGATTCGAATGAGAGTAGTCGGGTTGGATAGCCGAAGGGCTGTAATTACCCCCTGACCTACAGCCCTCACAGGATAACGAAGGTTCAATTTTTAGGAATTTTTTCAAAACGGTCGAAAATGTCAACATGTTTGGCGTTCATATCACCTTGTCGGGAATAAGGTATTATTTTCTCTTTTCGGAGGCCTTTTATTCCCAAATGCAACATCGGATTCGAACGAGAGTTGTCGTGTTGGATAGCCGGGGTGCTGTAGTTATCCACTGACCTACAACCCTCACGGAATAACGAAGGTTCAATTTTTAGGAATTTTTTCAAAACGGTTTAAAATGTCAACATGTTTGGCCTTCAGATCAACTTGTCGGGAATAAGGTCATATTTTCCCATTTTAGAGGCCTTTTATTTCCAAATGCAACATCGGATTCGAACGAGAGTGATCGGGTTGGATAGCCGGGGTGCTCTAGTTATCCCCTGTTCTACAGCCCTTACGGGATAACGAAGATTCAATTTTTAGGATTTTTTTTCAAAATGGTCGAAAACGTCAACATGTTGGGCGTTCAGGCCAACTTGTCGGGAATAAGGTCATATTTTCCCATTTCGGAGGCCTTTTATTCCAAAATGCAACATCGGATTCAAACGATAGTAGTCGGGTTGGATAGCGGGAGTGCTGTAGGTATCGTCTGACCTACAGCCCTCACGGGATAACGAAGGTTCCATTTTTAGGAATTTTTTCAAAACGGGCGAAAATGTCAACATGTTTGGCGTTCAGGCCAACTTGTCGGGAACAAGGTCATATTTTCCCATTTCAGAGGCCTTTTATTCCAAAGTGCAACATCGGATTCAAACGAAAGTGTACGGGTTGGATAGCCGGCGTGCTGTAGTTACCCCCTGACATACAGCCCTCACGGGATAACGAAGGTTCAATTTTTAGGATTTTTTTTCAAAACGATCGAAAATGTCACCATGTTTGGTGTTCAGATCAACTTGTCGTGAATAAGGTCATATTTTCCCTTTTCGGAGGCCTTTTATTCCCAAATGCAACATCGGATTCGAACGAGAGTGGTCAGGTTGGATAGCCGGAGGGCTGTAGTTACCCCCAGACCTACAGGCCAACTTGTCAGAAATCAGGTCAACATGCTAGTTTTCAGAGGCCTTCTATTTCAAAATGCAACATCGGATCCGGACGAGGGTGATCTGTGTGGAGAGCCGGGTGCTGTATTCCTTCTTTTAGGATGTTGTAAAAATGGGCGAAAAGATCAACATGTTCGAATGCAGGTCAGGTCAGAACGCAGGCCATCTTGTCACTTTTCAGAGGCCGACATCAGATCGGAATGAGGGTGGTCTGGTTGGATACCTGGAGTGCTCTCGTGTCCCACACGCCTGGTTTGATTGAGGGATAACTGAAATTCATTTTTAAGAATCTTTTGAAATAAGGAGAGGAGCTCAAAATGTCATATTTGAGAGGCATTTTAATTGGTAAT